TCAATAAATTTCAAAAAGACATATGATAGTGGACATATGATAATATATATTTGTTAGTTTAATTTGAAGTGATATGTGTTCTTTAATTTGCGCAAGTGGATTAATTATGAAATATCGATATACATATATATATATATATATATATGTGTCCTAATCGAAAATTTTTTTAATATAATTTTTAGGTAATTAATTTTTTCTCTTATAAATTGGAACAAAAAGATCAATCACAATTAGGTGTTAGTCAAGTATTATCCACTATACGGCAAGGTACTTTAGAATGGCCAAGAGATCGTTTAAGAGTACGTAGGAATTGTTACAAATCATTACGATGTTTATTTATTAAAATTTTAATTTTATATATATATACTGTTGTTTGTAGAAATTCCCAGAATTGAAATTCAAATATGTAGAAGAAGAACAACCGGAAGAATTTTTCATTCCTTACGTGTGGAGTGTCGTTTGTCAAGGAGCGTTATTACATTGGAATGCGGAGAATATAAAATTATTTTCTCCTAATAATGGCGAAGCAACCATCATTGTTTGCTGATACTGAGATGAGGGGTGCATTCTGCTATAAATATTCAAAGCGACGACACAAGTTAATAAAAGCAAAACTTAATAAATTTATAATAGAAATCGTCAAAAACAAAAGCATAAATATTTTCTTTTGAATAAATTAAAATGGAAATTTTAAGAATTAAAAGAAAAATGAAAATATGTGCGGCAAAAAACATAACGTATGGCATCAAATATAAGTATTGACGAGAAATATACTTATAGTAACATATATTTCTCAAAATTTGAAATTCAGTTCGACATCGTCAGAAACATTTTTTTTGTTATGTCATTTTCTTGTATTCAATCATTTCAATATTTATGAAATCGAATTGAATTAAATGAATTAAATGAAAAAATGAAAACAAATGAATTAAATTAAATATTATTATACTTTTTCATTTTTCTATTACATGTTATGAAATAAGATGTAAAAGACTTAACAACAGGTATTTTATATTCTTGAAAATCAAATTTTATAACTTTTCTGCATTTTGTTATGATTATATATAAATGATGTAATAACATACATCAAGCCAAAATGATAGATGCAGTTGTTGCATCTCAATGGGACTGGTTAAAGTTATTGTAGTATTTTGTATTATGATACAAGAGATAATTTTATGTTATTAATATATGCATGAGAAGTTATAATCTCTACAAATAATATAATTTATAAATGCCTGTATAACTTGAAAATTAAATTTTCTTGTAATCTAACTAAAAATATATACTGATTCAAAGTATTTTTTAATGCAAAAATGTAAAATTATCGAAACTTTAGTGAATTACATCTGGTAGCCTAATCAAAGTAGCATGCAATTTGGTTTCAATAGTACAACTGCAATATATTGTAAATAATTCTCGAGAAAATTCAATTTCTATTTGTTTAATTTAAAACGTGGCAATATAATATTTGTATAGTTCTGTTACTCACGCTGTATATGTGCAAATAATTTTTATTTAATATACATATACATCAATAAAAACTTTGATATTTATAAATACCTCGTTTCATTTCTTCAAACACTCGTTTAGCATAAGATTTACAGAAATAGGACATACATTTTCTAGGACAAATGTGAAAGGGCGATGTAGGAAAAAAATGGAAATAATTCAATGTCCATTTTTAACCGACAGGTCATTTAAAAATCGTATATCGCGTACGCAGTAATCTATACTCAAGAGATATAGTTTATTTTCCTCTGGAGTCTTCATCACATCAGTTGAAAATTTATCAATTATTTCGACCTGCCGGCTACGCAATGGTCAATTCGCACATGTCGAATGTACATCTTTATTAAACAAATACAGTTGACGTCTTAATGTTATTTATAATGTCGTTATAGATAGTATTTCATTTTTCCTAGCCTGTGCAGCGTGTATATGCGGCCGCGCGTGATCCTGTGTCGTGTACTTGTGTGTATAGTTAATATACTATTGCTATATAATATACTTCTCATTTTTGTCTTGAACGATCTTTCAGTTTGCAGAGTTAACAAGATAATTTGACTGTTTCTGTGCGTCGCGGTGCAGACGCGCCGAGTAACTCAGTGTGTCACGTTAAAATTAAAGACTTGTAAAGTCATAAACATTGCCTTAGCCATACGTCACGTTACGGCTCGAAACGTGTATGTGCTTAGCGTACAGATAATATTTTTTTTCTTTTAATTATTTATTTATTCATAATAATTAAATTCCTTAACTGTAATATACTATACCGTTACTTAATCTTATTAGTTAACACACAATCAATCTGCGATGAAGGAGGGAATTTAGTCGGCACGCAACGATATTCCGCATTACGGCCTAGCTAATCAGTAATTGATTATTTCACTTATTACCGTCATCGCGCAATTTACCTTTTATTGTTAACATCCGATCGTATCGTTATTACGCGCTATTTCTTCACGTATTTTTCTTTCCTTTTTCATTTTTTCTTTTTTTTTCTTTTTTAAGAGAGTGTCGCATATAACGAGAAATAACAACGAAGTCCTGGAGTGATCGCTCAATATCTCATGAGAAATATGTAATATATTTATACACGCTCTACATGTTTCTTATGACTTGGATGCACTTTTTTAGCTTATTCGATTCCAATATCCTCGGGCAGAAAACAAAATTTAGAAAAAAATGAATCATTCGAAATATACACAGCAATTTCAAATTAATGAACTTCCTACACTCAATTTGGCTTCGTTTTATTGAAAACTATCAGTACACGTCAATAATCCGAGCGCTCTCAAAAAGCTCTCGCGCAAACACGAGCGAAAAGCTCCATCAGATTACATGGGAAAAAAATTTGCCGCATTGCCGAATCCTGCGGCAAGACTAACGTCTGCCTCTTTTATATTTCTCATTCGACGCTACGGAAGGAAACGGCAAACTATAAACGGGACGAATGGCACGAGCGTTCGCTCCGCGAAGCGTTATAATTTCTCGATTTACACGCGCGCGTGATAGCGCGTTTACACATGCACGTTTTTCACTGCTGTCGCACCGGGATAGTGTCAGTATGTACGTGGAACGTGTGATGTATGTGTGTCAGCAAAAGTCGATACGCATCGGTGACGGCGGGCGTGTAATATGCGCTGAAGAGAATGCCCCTCGCCTTGTCGTGATAGACGAGAGGGAGTCCTCCTCTCGGAAATTCGGAAGATAAGATTTGACGTGTTACGAGCCTCCGATTTTTCCGAACTCTCTCGTTCTTCTCTTAAGATCCAAAATATTTCCTCTGGCCGTTTCAGGCGAACGGCACGTATGTGTATGCGTATGTGTGTATAAGTGAGACGAAGACGGGGGAAGAGTATGTATATTTATATACGTAAACATACATACATACATACACGGGGGTATCTGTGCATATGTATACGTACACACTCTAGCTGCCTACAAAATACAATGATACATTACAAATTCTTTTTTTTCCCCTCATTTCCTTTTACTCTTCCCTCTTTTACCTCTTTACATCGTCATTTGCAAACAGCTTAGATATATTTTTTTTTATGTATATATTATATAATAGTATCATCTAGTTGGTTTTGTTCTCTGCGTTCCTTCACATTTCCCGTTTAATTAAATGATTAAGTACACATCTTTAGAGCGGATGCGCGCAACCGATTAGGTTCACGTATGTTGCGAATCACTTCTCGTTTCATTGATTTCCTGATTTCTCGGTCGAAAGAGAGTTTTGACCTCCCGATATCTCGTTAAATAACGAAAGACTTGTTCACAAAGCGCATGGGCGTCCCTTATTTCATCGCATTCGAATTAAGGATCTTATCATTCTACATATATTTTTTCTTACGTAAATCATGTACATACAAAGCAGTTCGAGCTTGATGTAACTTAAGCCACGTGTTGCTTGTTGTTGATTTTGACCCATTTATGTATCACGATTAAAGTTATTTTTCAATTTTCCCAGGGTTGGAAAAGTTACTTTATAAAAGTAACTCGTATTTTTTTTTCTGAAAAATAACGAGTCATTATAATTTCCATTATTACTTTTTCAGTGAATTTTTCTGTTTCCTTTCTTGAGTTGCATCCAATTATCTTAGTTTATGACTAAGACAATCATTTAATTAATCGACTAATTCAATATAAGATCTACAGTGACTGTGATTGTATTAATCATAACATAACATGGTCAAACATAACATTTTCTTTCTTTGAAACACACTAATACGTTCCATTGTACGTTTACAAAGTAACGTTTACGATAAAAACGATTATATTAATTATCCAAAAAAAATAACTGCGTTACTATTAATGTTACAAATAAGGAAACGTTACTCTCTAAATTCTTTGGAGTGGAATCTCGCTATAAAGAATGAAAATTGAGCCAGTCTTGAAAAAGAATGATCCAATTTTTAATCTTTAAGAATGAGATTTCATTCTTCAAAATGACATTCACTCTAAAAATTTTAAAGAGAGCTAATTTGTTACTGAAAAAAGTAATTTTAAGGGTAACGACATTACAAGTAACCCATTATTTTCTAACTTCGTTTTTTACATGAGCAAATATATTCTTTTTTCAGAAAGGAAGAGAAATGAATGGCGAATCTTCCAAGCGATAAGAATAGAAAAGAAGCAATGAAACCAACGAGGAACTGTATCGCGTAAATAAAGGGATGCCCCATGCGTGTACGGTCATCGGACAAAATTACTTTCTACGAGATACCTTTTTCCCACCGCGATTTTCGCACATTCTTCTGACTTCGTTACATCGCATGATGAACCTGATAGAAGAGTGCGCCTGTCGCTTATTTACGATGTCGCTTGTACGACAGTCAAATGAAATAGGAATCTCAAATATATCTCCCGAACTGTATAATTCACTGTGCACTTATGCTCGAGGATTAAGCATATATAAACGCATGTGTACACATTTACGTAAGCTAATTTAGACACACTCATCAAGGCCAGATCCCTTCTTGATTTCATCCTGCGAGAACCTCCACGGTGGAGATCCATCGCGAGTGCCTCGACTGATTTTTTTTTATTGATTACCTTCTCACTGTGTTGCTATACGATCTTTACAAAATACGAGATTATGATAAAATTCGCGTTGCAGTGTAATAAAATCACGTTAGGAGAAAACACTAGGAAAGGAAAGACAGTACAAAAGCAAGCGTACACATCGGTATTTCATGTATATAAGTGTATATGCGATCTGGTGTTATCAGGAACAGATAAACGATCATGCACGCTTCTATTTGTCTTTTTTGTTTTTTCCGGTGATTTTTTTCAATCGAGTTCCGCTTTCTCGTTTAAAGTAATCCGAATTTTTGATCGAAATATCTGCTTTCGCGCGAGTCGGAGAAATGCGTAAGAGAGGGTGCGTATTGTTAACCCTTTCCGGAAACGGAGAGAGAGAGAAAGAGAGAGAGAGAGAGAGAGAGAGATGGGGAAAAAGAAACCTATCTTCCGAGAACGAGAAAGAAATCCTTACGAAGTCGCGACATTTCGCGACCGCTCGTTGGCGAAGCAAAGCTTCCCAAAAAACGTTTCCGACAAATCCCTTATAAAAATGATATGATATGCTCGTTGGAAAAATAAATTGTGTGTTCATTATAGTTTCCTATATGAATAT